CAAGCATTTCATGTTTAGAATTCTGAATAGTTTTCCCATTTTAAATGATGGCAATATATTTTTGCCTCCAGATGCACAGGTAGAATATGTGTCATGCAATAAAAAGAGCGTACCCAGTGCAGAGAGCTCCCGCTCTGTGCGAGGTCTGGGGAAAGGTGTCGGTGGCAAGCCTTACCCTCACCTGTGCAATGCGAGGAGACCACGACTTGAACCCGGGACCTTCCGGTCACAGACGGTAAGACTCTACCGCTTGCACGAGGCCCGCCCTTCATATGTGTCATGCAATGGCGCCTCAAAATAGAATTACACAAATGTTTTGTTGGAGTTGTAAAGGTCCGTTATGCCATGCTTATGATGGGAAGAAACATGATCTTCCTAATGCCATGAACGCTTCTGAAATCACCAACAAATTCGACCTGCACTCTCTGCAACAAATATGTTGCTCAGTTTGCAGTAAGGTCAGCTCTTGTTGCCACTGACAAAATACAACTGTTTGTGAGTTGATCCAAATTATTCAGGCCTGCTTATTCCAGGTACATTCAGGGCACATGTTTGTTTTAGAATTTTCTTTAAATATAGGAGCTTATGCTTTGAAAAAAAGGAAACTTAATATAGTTATCGTCTTTTTTTTCATGTCTTTATCTTTACAGAACAGTAAAATTATAAGGGCCATTGTCGCTTTTTAGTTCTTATTAGTATTGATTGTGGCCTGTTTCCTTACACCAAATGAGCTAACTCTATTTGCTTGCAACTTTCCAAACAGTTGAAGCTGTGACAGCATAGGAACCACATCCTTAATGTCATCCGCAACAGACTTCTGCTGTCTGCATTTTGGTGTTGCCATGATGTTTTAGCCCTGTGTCTTCATACCACACTTCGGTGTTGAGCCTAATGGGACCCGCTGTTGTCATTTCCAGGTAATGCATGTCCTTACACAGCAAGTTCATTTGACAATGTGGTCAATAGGTGTAGCTCAGTTTTTTTATCGCTTCAGTTCGTTGATATTAACATATACGCCCATCTGTGTGCTCTCCCATTCATCAGGCCGGTTTTGGATTAAACAGTCATGAGGTTTTTACATTAGTTTATTTGCAATGGCTCAGTTCAAGACCTCAGTTTATGCATTGCTTCTACTCCTTCGTATACGTTTATTTTTACATTAGGCAGCCGAGTTTACATATCTAGCATTCACAGGATTTCTTGTTTCTTATCAACTATGCACAATATCTACGATATCTTATGGACAGAGAAACTTCAACGTTTTTATATACTTGCAGCACAAGCTCTTTGATACAAAATTTGGCCCATGTTTACATTTTTTTATTTGATTGCCTGCTGCCTCTTCAGGTTAGAGTTGCACACAGACAAGATGCTACTGCCCATGAGTTCAATCCCTACGTGCAGATTCGCAGCGTAATAATAGGACAAAAAAATGCTGATTTTTACTCAGCTACTTAAAAAGTATGTAACCATGTGATCTGTTCCATCAGTTTTTATATATGACAAAAAAATTCAAACTACTTACTCAGTGATGTAATTCTGAACTTTGATTACCTTTTGGAAATCTGTTCAGCAGTACGTTTAGGTATCGATTGAATTATCTTGTGAGATGCTGCTTATTCGGTCACAGAAAATATAAGTCAGGTTTCTTTGCTATACAATGTTTCAGAGAGGCTAATTCCAATCATTTGCCTTTACCTTCTCATATACCATCTATAATTCTACATTCATATATGCAGTTATATCTATGCTAATGATCCGCCTCACCTACAACAAGAGATTGATTTAGGAATGCCCATTTGTTCCATGCATGAATATTATTATGTTTTACTATCGACCTAATTTAACGTTTTCATACTCTTAGTAATAGTAGTATTCCCAACACAATGTGTCTCGAAATACTCTTTTACCTGGAGAACTGTTACCATGTTCTGCAGTCATGGAGTGAGATGAATTCATAGTTCAATTTCAAAAGTAATAACTGGAATTTGATCCATGGTCCTTAGCCCTCGCGCGCGTTCCACCAGTCTGAAGTTAAGGATCAGCAAAATCACGCAGAGGAGGCAAATCTTGAAGTTCAAGAATCACTTTGATGAAGATAAGAAAAACCAAACTTTCTGGAGGTCAAATGGACTTATCAACTTTCGAGGGAGGCAAATCTTGAAGTTAAGGATCGACAAAATCACGCAGAGGCGGCAAATCTTGAAAAGTTCAAGAATCGTTTTGAAGATAAGGAAAACCAAACTTTCTGGAGATCAAATGGACTATCCAAAATAATAAGAACACATCTCGTGTTTCAAAATGCCAAAGTATTAACATTTATATTTCAAATAAGTTTACTATAAAAACATACGATGGGATATTTTTTTTTATCAAATTTTAGATTAGTTTTTGTACGAAGGGAGTACAAATTGGATCCAGCCCGTTGTGCAACTTTTTAACCACATATCCTGACATCTCGGACTTAGCACCATTAGCATACTCCCTCCGTCCCAGATTAAACACACTTCTACGTTTCAAATTTTTTCCCAAAATAGAAGGTCACTATAGGGTCTATAGCAGCCTAAAGCTGCCAAGTGACTAGCTGCAAGGATTAGCAACAAAATAAAATAATGGACATAGAAAAAAAGGAAAAGTGACAGGGAGTACGTGGAAGCCTTTGGACCACTCGTTTGGTCATACCGAGGCCCCCATGTCCTCTCCATTTCCCTTGCCTGTAGACCGCACAGCAGGCATGCGCGAAGAGGTGCGGGTCCGCTGTAAGGTCCTAATGGCTAGAGGGGGGTGAATAGCCTAATAAAAATTTCTACAACAACACTTAACCAAATGGTTAGACAATTATGAGGCGAAGCGAGTGTTGCGCTAGCCTACTCAAAAATGCAAGCCACCTACCACAATTCTATTTCGAATAGTGTATATCCACACAATAGCTATGACACTTAGCTAAATTAGTGTGCTCTCAAAGACTAACTAAAGAGCAACACTAATCAAACAAACAAGCTCTCACAACTAGCTACACTAAAGAGCTTGATAACTAGTTTGCGGTAATGTAAGAGTGAGCAAGAGAGTTATACCGCCGTGTAGTGGTAGGAACCAATCAATCACAATGATGAATACCAATGTAGACCAATCACCTCGGAATCAAATGATGAACACAATGATTTTTACCGAGGTTCACTTGCTTGCCGGCAAGCTAGTCCTCGTTGTGGCGATTCACTCACTTGGAGGTTCACGCGCTGATTGGCATCACTCGCCAAACCCTCAATAGGGTGCCGCACAACCAACACAAGATGAGGATCACACAAACCACAAGCAATTTACTAGAGTACCTTTTGGCGCTCCGCTAGGGAAAGGTCAAGAACCCCTCACAATCACCACGATCGGAGTCGGAGACAATCACCTCCTCCACTCAACGATCCTTGCTGCTCCAAGCCGTCTAGATGGCGGCAACCACCAAGAGTAACAAGCGAAATCCGCAGCGAAACACGAACACCAAGTGCCTCTAGATGCAACCACTCAAGCAATGCACTTAGATTCTCTCCCAATCTCACAAAGATGTTTAATCTATGATGGAAATGAGTGGGAGGGCTTTGGCTAAGCTCACAAGGTTGCTATGTCAATGAAAATGTGCAAGAGCGCTCCCTTGAGCCGGCCATGGGGCTATAAATAGAGCCCCAGTGAAATAGAGCCGTTGTACCCCTTCACTGGGTACAACGCGGGGTGACCGGACGCTCCGGTCCGATTGACCGGACGCTGGCCCTCAGCGTCCGGTCACGTGATTCACGTCACGTGTCCCCTGCTTCAAACGCTGCTCGTCAGATTTCAACGGCTGCGAAGCTGACCGGACGCTCCGGTAAAACTGACCAGACGCTGGAGCCACAGCGTCCGGTCGAGTACAGTAAGGGTCCAAATCCATTTTTCTTCGACCGGACGCGTCCGGTCCACCTCGACCGGACTCAGCCAGCGTTCGGTGGTATACCCTAGCCACTGTACCGCCGAGTCAGCGCGACCGGACGCAGGCAGTCAGCGTCCGGTGCTTCTGGATTCAGCGTCCGGTCACTGGACTGACGCCAGCATCATTTCGATCAACTCCATTTCAACTCTTACTTCTTCACCCTTGCTCAAGTGTGCCAACCACCAAGAATTTTGCATCCGGCGCAATAGAAAATAGACATTTCATTTTCCCAAAAGCGCCGAATCCCGCCGAGCTTGCGAGGCGGGAGGGAGAGAGGGACCCAAACCCATCTCAACCCTACAAACACCTTGTGCACATGTGGTAGCATATTTACACAAATATTATCAAGGGTGTTAGCACTCCACTAGATCCTAAATGCATATGCAATGAGTTAGAGCATCTAGTGGCACTTTGATAACCGCATTCCGATACGAGTTTCACCCCTCTTAATAGTACGGCTATCAAACATAAATGTGATCACACTCTCTAAGTGTCTTGATCACCAAAATAAAATAGCTCCTACAAGTTATACCTTTGCCTTGAGCTTTTTGTTTTTCTCTTTCTTCTCTTCAAGTTTAAGCCCTTGATCATCTCCATGCTATCACCATTGTCATGTTATGATCTTCATTTGCTTCTCTACTTGAAGTGTGTTACCTATCTCATGATCACTTAATAAACTAGGTTAGCACTTAAGGTTTCATCAATTCACCAAAACCAAACTAGAGCTTTCATCCGCGGGTGACAGGATGTCACTGACTTGTACAAAAGCAGGAGCAATTTTGTACTTTTACACATAACATTGGTATGCGTGCACAATTCTAGATGTGCAAATATAATGGGACGGAGGGAGTAGGTTATTTAGTGACGACATCATCTGATGTGTGCCTCTAAAGATTGATCCCATAGAGGCAGCATACAATCTCTTATCACCACTCACACCACGATAAAATCACAGCAGCAGACGAAAATAAGACAACACTGACAGGAGATTCTCCTCTGATCCCGCAGTATAAGTAATAAAGCATGGCAAACGGTTGCAAAGCTCTTATGCTGCACTGTCGATGGCCATCGGTTGCGGCTCCTGCTTCCTGGGCACCTTCTGCAGCTGTTCAAGCTTCCTCCATTTCGCGAACATGTTGCCGTAGAACTTGGCATCACGTCTATTGTACTCTCTCATCCTTTCCTTTAGGGTCTTGTACACCAGCTTCACATCCCTGATCGGGAGAACAGTCAGGAGTTAATTTCACCATGCTGAAGCAATGATCTGGTGATCCTTGCAAGACTAAAGCATCGAAGAAGTTGGTGGAAGTTCAGTTGGCACAAATCGTACCTGTTGTCAGGATCAATTTCCAGCGCTTTCTTCACATCCAACTCTGCCAGCTCTAGGTCAACAAGCTTGATGTATGCTTGCGCCCTTCTGTACAAGGCCTTAACATTTGTGCTCTCGAGTTCCAGAACCTGAATGCCAGAGCTCATAGTCAGTATCAATGCTTTTTACAACATAAGATGGCAAAGGGCGAGCCTACAATACCTTTGTGCAGAGTTTCTCTGCTTCTCTGTATTCTTTCAGTTTCAGCTTGCAGGCTGCGTTGTTGAGCTTGCAACTGATTTTCAGAGCTTTTGATTGCTTCTTCTCATCCTCACTGAAAGAGCTGTCATACTCAATGTATTTTGCAGCCTGATTGAAGGGAAAATGGAGTTAGTAATGGTCCGTTCGATAAAAGTAACAGATATTTTGCATCTTGTGTACACTGCCACTGTCATTTTACCTTCTCGTATCTCTTAGAGGCCTTGGCATACTTGCCCATCTTAAACCACACATTCCCTTCATCTTTCTTCTTGGCAGCTGCTTCGATCTTCTCAGTATTGGTCTTCAAGTCCCAAGATTCTTTCTCCTAAAGAAAGACAAGGCATAAATTATCGTTAGAATATGGTCAGCAACAGCAACCATGATAAACAGACGAGTAAAACACTTTCAGCCTTGCCTTCTCAAAGGAAACAAGCTCCACTTCATAAAAGACAGTAGAATCAGGAGGAACAACAGCAAGATCTTGCTTTGTTTCTACAGATCCAAATGCATGTTCAGGTGGTACTCTGACCAACGCAACCTCTCCTTTCTTCATATTAACCACTGTTATGTCAAGCCCTTCAATAACCTGCTCTTCATCTGTCTTCAACTCAAAAGGCTCTTCACCGTCATGCCCTTTCTTTACAAAGACAGTACCATCCTCCAATTTGCCAATAAGCCTCACTATTTAAGGACAAGAACATATGTTAGACTTACAGAACACTGCACCCACAACCAGAAGGAAGGGTGACAAGGAATGCATGAATTACTTAGTACCATGTACTACGCACCTCTCACTACTGCTCCATCATTAGGACGTTCATAACCTTCGCCTTCCTTGAGGACTTTCTTCAAGATCCTCTTGCGATCTCCGATAAGTGTCACAGTCTTCCAAGAAACCAGCTCAAGATCTATATGCAGCGTAGCATTTGGAGGCACTGCTACTTCATCTCCAGAAGCTGGTTTTCCTTGTTCTCCGAATCCATCTGATCATCACAATGGACACATATATATATTAACTACTCCTTTGGTTCAGAGCTTTATGAGTACATCAACGAGGGTTGCTGCCAGAAAGGCCTAATTATGAGCCTGCTTGGTTGGCTTCCAAAATTTGCGAGCCAAAAAGATTTGCCAACCAAAAGTTGGGCAAAAATACTTGCCACAGATTTAGCAAGCTAAATGTGACATATTGGCAAATTTTGGCAACAAACCAAATTTTGGCCCAAAAAAACTTTGGCTTGCCTAGGTTTTGGTAACCAAAATTTGGCTATCAATCAATTAGGCTCTAAAATTTCTTGAAGACTTACATTGTGGCTTGACAGTGAGGAGAACCTTTTCGCCCTTCTTCATTGTCTTCGCAGCCTTCGAAAGCGCCGGGCAGAAGTAACCTGCAGTGTCAATTTTGTTAGTTACAGAATGAAGGATTCAGAGCTGATAGCACAATCATACATTCAGGAAGGACGAAGTTCCAAGATACAAACCATCTTTGACGGCAAACTCAACACCATCAGACTTGGACACAACAGTTCCATCCTCGAGTCTTGCCTCATACTTGACTGTAGGAATCAATTGAGCAAGAAGTGTCAAAACCCACATCTCAAGCTATCAGCACTAAGGCACTACAGTATATCAAATAACATCATACCAAAAACTTCATCAAGGTCCTTGGGGTTCTCCCACTTCTCGCCTTCAACAAGGATCTTCTTGAAGATTCCACCGTCCTTGCATATGTCCTTGACACTGGCCCATGACAGGAGCTCAACGTCAAACTGGAGTGTGGCATTGGGTGGAATGGTGGGCGGTGAACCTGTCTCGCCATAGGCAAGCCCCGGAGGAATAGTGAAGATTGCGTTCTCACCCTTCTTCATGGTCTTGATGCCCAGGTCCCATCCCTTAATCACTTGCCCTGCAGCAAAATAACATGCATGGCAACAAATTACCACAGAACTGAATCCTGATAACCGATGTCATCATATCATACTTGTTGAAGCTGCTTTCACGCGCCTTGTCCAAGTTTGAATTTGAACGGGGTTCCACGGTCACGGCTCGAATCAAACTTTGTTGCGTCCAAAAGAGTGCCAATGTAACGCACTGCAGCGAATAGATTCAAAAATTACTTTTGTATAAACTGAACTGGTCAAACATATCAATTGAAACAATCGCTCTTTGTCATCATTTGGGTAATTCGGTTCTGAAAACCACCAGAATTGCTGCGCTTTAAATGATTATCAAATTCAAATATTTAGTTAAATTTAGGAGCATAGATTATCACAGCTACTGATTCCATTTTCCTACTCTGTTCTTGCGCCGGCCAATTCCGTCCCGAGAGCAAGCACCTGTACGTCCGGCGACTGAACAAACTAACGGAAGAAGAGCAGGCTCGCGCGCAAATCCGCAAACACGTACGTACCTTCGACCTCGTCGCCGGTCTCGGGGCGATCCCACCCCTCGCCCTCCTTGACGAGCTTCTTCTTGAGCCCCTCCTTCCCGATCTCCTTCTCCTCCCCGACCTTCATCGTCGGCGGGAAATAGTCCTCATCGGCGTCCACCCCGGCGTCGAGGTCCTCCATGGCCTCGTCCTCCTCCAGGCCTCCCATGCTTCCGGAGACGCGAGACGAGTCGCGACTCGCGAGGCGGGAGAGGTTTCGAAGGCCGTAGATGTTTCCAGAGACTGTTATTCCTATGCGAACCTGCGTGCACCCAAACGCTCGCCCATCAAGCTAGCTCACATACGATATTTTTATTTTTGCAAACCAGATCTTTAGCTGCTCCCTCCGTTCAAAAAAAAAAAAAACGAAAATCTCACTTCCCAAAGTCTGAAACAATTCCAAACTTGATCAAAAATATAAAATATTAATATTTATAATACACAACAAGTATTACTAGATTAATCATGTAATATATTTTCGTAATAACTCAATTTAAAGATACCAATATTGATAATATCTTTTACAAAGTTTAATTTCGAAATTATTTGAGCTTAGGAGAGGACTTTTAAATTTTTTTTTGGACAGAGGGGGAGTAAACTCCTAGGTGTATGTTTTAAAAACACAGTAAATTGGTTCTCCAGAAGATGCCAAGAATGGTGAACAGGAGACCTCTCTCCATCTATATTCATGAGATAATAATCTCAACAAAAAAAAATTACTTTCCCTACTGAAATGACTAAAGAATTTCTTTCTTGAAAAAAGGGTGAATTTTGCAAGAATTTGGAAACACAAGCAAAGGTTGATTTCAACTCTAAAAAGGAGGGTTGGATATAGGTGTCGTTCTTATTTTGCCCGAGTGATTCGAATTAGCACTGCCCGACCATATTTTTGCAGAGTTGAAAGAAAAGATATGAAATTTCTCTTTTTAGAGTTATAATCATCCCAATAAAAAAATATTCTTGTGATAGGGCCTGTTCCCGGTAAAAACATGGTGAAATTGTCTTTCCCATTCTTCCCCTGATCCCGCTAGAAAATAAAGACGTTCATTTCTGTTGTAAAAATAAAAAGACGTTCATTTCCTAAAATATCCCACACATGCAGGGGAAAACTGCGGAAAGGGACAGATCTATGCCCTTCAATAGCTTTGAGCAACTTCCATTAAAAGGGTAAATAACGATGACTCTTACCGTAACCAATTATAACACCATTGACATTCTTTAAACAAGCAAAAATCTTTGTGTGGTGTGTGGTGGGGGAGGGGGTGTGTTCTCTAAAGGGTGTTCAGTATAAATTTGCAATAGGTAAATATCTTTCATATTAGTAAATAAATGCATTACAGTGAAGTTTATTACATTGAAACTTAAAGCTAAGCCACACGACAAAATCAATGGATTGGATTCAGTTGTAGAACTGACTTACATCTCAATATTGCCATCAATACTGTATAGATTAGAACAGCAGTAGTATTTCGTAACATATTTTGGATTACAGCAAAACTTAACTTTAAGCCATACAAGAATCAATAGGCACATCATCAGCAATGTAGAGTGTTGCATTCAGTTGTAGGATGAAACCAAATTTATCTCCAGGACTGAGGTTGTACATATGCCACACTCTTCTCAAATTTCATAGGCTCCAATGATGAAACCAAATTTATCTCCAGGATGTAATCCTAAGGGGCTGTTTGGCAAGGCTCCATGGAGCAAATTCTCCACGAGAATCGCTTCTCCACAACTAAACAGCTAAATCTCACACAGAATCTGGTGGGGAGTAGACAAGAATCACTTCTCTATTTACGCTAGGAGCTAGGAGCTAAAAAAACCTTCTCCTCACTGCTCCCTATTCAAAACCCACCACAATGAATTCTCATTTACTCCCCACCCTGCTCCCTCATAGAAATTAACTAGAATCACTCCATCGAAAAATCAAGGAGCTGGAGCTAAGAATTAAGGAGTGGAACTCTACCAAACAGACCCTAAAAGTTGTCCTCTCACATGTTAAGTGCTGATGGCTAACTTGCTCATGCTTAAAGAACTTCAGGAACAGCAGAGCTTCGCTAAACGTCATCTGTTGTGTTGATGATTGTGCCTTCTAATAATTCTAGAAGCCCCAATGATCTTTTTAATCCATAGCAGCCATATGTATCAGTTAACTTCAACTTTTTGCAGTTTACTGGGACTTGACCATTCAGCTGTCACTCAAGTTGTTAATCCATGGCAATCAAAGGTCCCAATCATGAAAATATGCAACTGAGTACAACTTAACCACATTTATGGGAGCTTAAATGATCAAAATTCAGTAGCAGTTATAGCATAACTGGTATTGGAATGGGAGTTGTTAATTTAGAAGTTGCAGTACTATTTACAGGCAATCAGAAAATTCTGGAATATAAGTACTGACTATTTTGGATCAACATTGGCCTAAACCAAAATTATGGACCTAAACACACATATTTTGCCCTTCCTAAGCATATGTAAGCAAATGTGTTGAACCTGAATTAGGCCGCATGTACTCTGCAGTAATAAAGAGTAAACATCATTTTGGGCTCCTGGGTAATCTGGAAACACCGTAATTCATGTGTTTTTGATGGCGCGTGACCGTGCATCAACGACCTCCTCCGGATGTTCAGAGAAGAGCAACACCTCTGGTGTCTTGCTGGTGCTCGAAGTCTGGGAGCGCTGGGTCAAGGTCAGGGAGACGAGCTGGGGCTGTCTTAGTTCTGTTTCCTCGCTCTTTCTGGGTTAGGTCTCGTCTCTCACGTGTTTCTTTAGAGTAAGTCCTGTTCATGTAAAATTCAAGCCCTCATGGCTCGGCTCGGAGTGAGGTAGTGGTGATTGTAAGGGGCCGGTTCTTTCTCTCTATAATACAAAGATACGAAGCTTTCCTTCATATTCGAGAAGAAAAAAATAAAGAGTAAACATCAAGGAGGGCAAAAGCATTCAGGCAAATATAAAGTTAGACAGACCTTTTCCTTTGATGTTTCAAGTAATATCAAAATTACTCCCCTTGTGTTCTTTGCTTTCATCACTGAATCCCTGAGTCAGGGCACAATATATTAGAAAAAATAAATATCTCACCGAATAAATAAAACAGAATGTTTCCACTAGACATTCAATGAACCATATCACAAGCATTACTTTAAAAGGTGTGAATAGTTTAACAAAGTCAGTTAAAAGGCTTGATTACTTTGAGTTTGCAACTAGGATGGGTTTAGTCCTAATGTAATTTAACTAATAATGTACTGGTGTTCTGGCTTATTATCCCATCTCCAACAGTAACTTGTATCTAGATCAATCTTTAATGAACTATTTATCTAATCCACTTTAGGAGATGCAGAACTTACATCCAGGAATGTAGGAAGCAGCAAATATTATCAGCTGTGTGCATTCAAGGTCATTCCTAGTTTTCAGCCTTCCAGTAACGCAGAAAAGGCCTAATTATCCATAACAATTGGTGATCACAAAGGCACAAACACCATCTCCAGCGATTTGAATAAAGGAGTAATTATACATAACCATTGAAGCCATTCTTTCAACAAAGGAGTAAATCAAGAATTCAGGCTTTGAATAACCATATCATCAGGTTCTGAATGTAATGATATATGAGATACTAAACCTTCTAGCATGGAATATATATTATCTCTCTCAGGATGATTCTGGTCGTCCACAAGGAATACATGAACTATGTCCTTGATCTCAATCCAACTGCAGCCTGGTTCCTTTTTCGCATTTAGACTCCTCAGCCGTGTCCTTACCATCACAACATCTTCCCATTTCCCCAATTTAGCATAGATGTTAGACATCGCGACATAAGCAGACCTATGTTTTGTGCCCATGAAAAAAAGCCTCTGGGCAACTTTCTCACCCATCTCTAGGTCCATCGAGTACCAGCAGGCAGTAAGTAGGGCTCCCCAGATTATACCATCCGCTGGCAAAGGCATTTCATAGATGAACTTCTCTGCTTCTCTGGTACGCCCAGTCCGACCAAGGAGATCGACAGCACAAGTATAGTGCTGCACAGTTGGAACTAGTCCAAAGTTTTCCATGGAGTAAAAGATTTTCATCCCCTTGTTAACCAAACCAGCACGAGCACTAGCCATAAGGAGACCCAGAAAAGTGATTTCGTTGGGACTGACATGATGCTTCAGCATCCTCCCAAATTGTAACAGAGCCTCCAACCAGTGACCATTCTGTGCAAGACCATTGATAAGAGATGTCCATGAGGCAACATTAGGTGATGTGATATAAGTAAATGCAGATCGTGCATCAATCACGCAACCACATTTAAAGTACATATCAGCAAGGGCTGTTCCAACATGACCATTGGAGTCAAACGAAGTCTTGCAGAGGTGAGCATGTACCATTCTGCCTTGCTCAAGAGTTCCAATAGTTGCACAGGCATGCAATAGAGCAGAGAATGTAGACGGGCTGCATCCAATAGACAACCGGCACATGACCACAAATAGCTTCAGAGCCTCTGAAGGTTTGTCATTCTGAATGTAACCTGAAATCATAGAATTCCATGTTATTGTGTCTCTCTCGTCCTTAATCTGTTTAAACAGCTTCAACCCCTCTTCCAACCTTCCGTTCTGGAGCAATACCGACATCATGGAGTTTAAGGACACCATGTTTCTCCGAGGCATCTTCTCAAACATCCTTCGGCAATGTTCAAGCTTTCCCTCCATAGCATATGCTTTAATCATCAGATTGTAGGAACCTGAGTCCTGCTCTGGCATCTGTGAGAATACTATCTTAGCATCCTCTGCCCTACCAATGGATATAAGTCCTGCAATCAGTGTATTGGATGTGATCAAGGATGGCCTATCCAAGTCATTATAGACCAGCAGTGCATCATCCAAAGCATCATAAGTGCAGTAAAGATCAACAAGAGCACTAGTGACTAACTGCTCAGACCGAAACCCACATCTGATCAAACATCCATGAACGGATCGCCCAAAATCCAATGCGCCCAACCTCACACATGCCCTCAAAACACTGTCATAAGTGTACTCATTCGGCATGACACCATCATCAGCCAATAACTTCACAAACAGCAGCAGTGCCTTGCCACAGCACTGATCAGTGCCCTTAGCATAGCCAGATATGACTGCGGTCCATGCAAACACATCACGTGGCGCTGGTGTAATTTGAAGCAAGTCCAAGGCCTCAGCCAGCAAGCCGAATCTCACAAGCGCAACCACCATCGGGCTCCACAGCAGCTCGTTCCTCGGGTGCAGAGACTCAAAGAGAGCGCGAGTTGCACGGAGGTCGAAGCACGAGGAGTAGAAGTCGAGGAGGGACGCCCCGATGACCGCGAAGCCCTCGCACCCGGACTTGATCACTTGGCCGTGCGCCTGCGTCCCAGCGTGGAACATCCGCCCGCGTGCGCATGCGCCGACCACCGACGCGAAGGTGGCCTCCGTGAGCGGTAGTCCCGAGCTATGCATCCGCGCCGCGGTACCCAGCGCGTCGGGGACGTTACCGCGCCTGGCGTGGCCAGAGACCACGGCGTTCCAGGAGACCGCATCCCGGTGCCGCGTTCCGTCGAACAAGTCGCGGGTGCGGCCGCGAGGGAAGGAGACCCGCGTTGTCCGCTGCTGCGCGGCGCGGTCTGGCACTGCCGATGAGATGTGGGAAAGAGGCTGTAGTGGGAGCCGCGCGGACAGGTTCCGGCCCGCATGGTTGGCCTGCGGCCGCTGCCTCCAGAAAGCAAGGGACGGCGCGGCTCTGCGGAGCATACGTGCGGCGGGCGACAGGTGGGGGCTTCACAGTTCACACTACTCTGTCCATACTATTGCATGTTTTATTTAGGCGAAATAGCTATATTCATCCTTAAACTTTCGTCCAAAACTCAAATTCGTCCTTCAACTATCAAAATGGTCGGTTTAGTCCTTGAATTTACAATTTCAGTCCAATTTCATCCTCTATCTGACGCCGTCTTCCACACAGAAGCTCACTCTGTCAGCACAGTTCTATTGGGAGACCAAAAAAGGTGACTGAAGACCTCGCATCCATGAATCACAGCTTGACACGGTTGTATTTGCATTCAGCTGGACAATGGGATGATAGTACACTGATCGACAAAGGTTGCGAAAAGAAATATGTAAACTGATGCACGGTAGGGAAGAAAACGGATCGGATTAGAACTGATAATGGCTTCCCCATATCCTAATCTATTTTTATCGGATTCAGAGCGAATCAGATATTATACGGATTCGGATGCGAATACGAATTTTTAGGATGTCGGGAATGATACTGATTTGGACCGGTGATGGAGCGGAAACGGACTTTTTAAGTCGGATAATATGTGCTTACGTGTTGTTTTTTATAATGAGAAACAATTCATTAACCAAAGTCATAAAGCGGCAATACAACACGAAATAATCACCATCAATCCACCACTTCGATTTAAGAGCTCACAAAATTAATATAAGTTCTCAGTTTAAATTTAAGAGTATAAAACAAGTGTGTAAAGAATAAATATTCTTAATTTGGCAAGACTTTACCTTCACTCTTTGCCGTGTACTAGTCCTCCACTTTGGTAGATGATAATTCTTTCGTCTCCAGTAATTTCAATGTTCCAGCCTATAGTTGACGAGCTTTGTTTGTGGACTTTAATATAATAATGCTTGTGTCATGTGCCAGGCTGACTTGTATTCTTGCCTCTTGGGCTCCTTAAAATATTCCAATTATCCTATTATAAAAGTCGCGCATTCAATTATTGGTTAATCCATATTCGTCGGATTTCGCCAATTCCATATCCTACACCAGATCTCAGATATAATCGGGTTTGGATTATCCGTATCCACATAGATATTAAAAACACTTCTCCATATCCATAAAATTCGGATTCGGGCGGATCGAGCAAAGGATTATCTATACCACTTGTGCTTTTACATTGTAAGTGGTCGCAGGCCTGTGGATAATCATGTAGTGATTTTTGAAATCAAATGATTTTTGAAATCTAATTATAGTACCGACTTTCCATGACTTGGTGCCTTATTTCACCGGTTCTGAAGCGTATTTCTTTCTATTTTTGGGTGGGCGCTCTCGCGTTTTCTTCACTCTAGGAGGCAATGGCTTTGGATTTGGAGATACAGGCCACGCTTACTCATGCTCCACGAGTTGCAGCACATGCTGTTATGTCTAGAGACTTGCCAAAATCTGTAAGTGTGTTGTCTCGTCTCAAAGTGTGTTAACGGAGTGAGCTCTACGTGGCGTGACGACGCCGACGTGAGGACGAGATCGAACAAAAATTGCAAATTCAAGGACTAAACCAGCCCTTTTGATAGTTGAGGGACGAATTTAAGTTTTGGATGAAAGTTCAAGGACGAATATGGCTATTTCGCCTTTTATTTACAGAAATGCTATACAATGTAAAAAAAAAAACATATGGATTTTGTGTCCGTCCATCGTGCGTTGCGATTCGTGCTAGCGCCTCCTCTGCACACGGGATGAGCTGTGGGCTGCGGCAGCCTTTTTATCTTTTTTTTTATTTTTTCCGCGCCGTTTTGTATTCATTTCTGTCGAGGCTGGGAGTGGGGAACCTGCGCGGCGGATGGGCCCGTCGGATGGTCGCCGGCTGCTCCCGTTGCCCCTCCCCGTGTGACCGTGCCTCTCCTTTGCCACACCGCTCCCTTCCCTTCCCGGGGCGAGATCCGGTGGCTGGTGCGCCGGCCCTCCTCGTGGGATTCGTCGATGGTGGAGGCGGGATCCGGTGAGCACGACCTAGATCCGCACATCCACGACGGTGATGGCGGCGCGGTGGGCAGGCTGCGGCCCCTCCGGCGGCGCACCCCTCCGGCAGCGCGTGCGCAACACCTCGCACGGGCCGCGGTGTCTTACCCATCACGATGCGATACCCAATCGGTGAGGAAAGGTTCTATGGCTTGCTCTTCCAGGTTGTGATTGCTATGCCTTTCAAGTTCTAGTCAGTCCATTGCGACTGCAGAAGTATGAATTCTAAAAAAAAAACCAGTAGCAAACCAATTTGTCACTGTTTTCTTCTCTTTGTTGTGAGGAACGAAACACCTCGATATCCAAGTGAGGCGAGCCGCGGCGACGTGCGAGTCCGGCGTGTCCCGCGGCCTAAATCCTAGCCGGGAGCCGGCCCACCTCGGTGTGGTTTTGTTCTGTCGCATGTTGTTTTTGTTGGGGACGATTGCGTGGGAGCCGGGTGCTGCCGCTTAATTCCGCCTAATTTGCCGTCTCGGTGGGGTGCTGTTGCCCTCGGGGTGGCTTCAATTTGGTTGGTCTCTGGCGCTTGGGGAAGAGTTTCAAGGGTGGATTTTCGCGGGTGTTGCTTTACTTGGTTGTTGCGGGGTGTGGATTTGGGGAGGACCAGACTGTCAAGTAACTGGCTTTTTCTTGTGTTGGTTGCCTTTTTCATTCGTGATTTATTTGTCTTCGACTCAGGAGGGGGTTCAGGGTGGGGATTACATGGCTGGTTTGCTACTGGTTTTTTGTTGGATTCGTGCTAGCCTTTCCTTACTAAATGCATAGCAAAGTGTGGTTGCTGTTTGAACATGTATTTCTTACCGTTGTGTGTATTCCTTATCTCAGTTCTAGCTAACATTTAATTTGGAACCTGCAGAAGTATGAACAACAGCATCTTGCTTATAATCTATTTATCAGCTGAACCAATTCCGGCATGCTATTTTTTATTATGTTCTGGAGGTACTTCTAGACTTATGCCTTTTTCCTTTTAGGGCTTCAAAATCAATTTGCAAAACTCACTTGTTATCCTTTATGGGAAAGAGTAAATCCTATCATCAAGCCAAAATATGTTTGGAATTTTAATTGGATGCAAACAGCATTACAAATTTTTACTTCAGAGCATAAATATGTCAAATATTTTCTCCTATAAACTACAGTACTGCTCCTTGATATAGCACTTGGTATACCACTGAACTATGTGATCCTAATTTTCTACTACATAGTTGTTGAAGTGCTCTGCAAACAAATTAAACATTTAGTTACATAATTGCAATCAACAATAATGCAAATTGCAAGTATCGGACACTGCAATTGTAGTTCTGAGCATATGCAATATGGTGGTGTTGAACCATTTTCCTCCTCGATTTGTCTTTTTTCTCACAGTGCAATATGGTTCTGTATTGTAGTAATCTGTATCCTCAACTCAGTTTTATGTATGTATCTTTTGAGAAAGAAAATGCTCGTGCACAGCCGGTGAGTTTGAGTAGAGCTCTGAGCCTGACTGTGAAACAAACAACCCCTGTATCTGGAAAATAATACAGGCCACCAAGTAGCTGGTAGTATCCTATATAATCAGGAGTGACTGTTTCTGTTGTTTGCGTGGCTGTCTGTCCTTAGCTTCAAGGCAGGTAAATATTGCAATCATAGCACGGTTTTGGTGATGCGAGGGATGGTGGTCGGCTAGAGGAGTTATTTTTTGTGGTTGTTTTCTGAATGTCAGTGATAATGATTTGTTGATTCACCGTTTTGTGTTTTACAGATTAAGTTTCAACAATCTATTGTTTGATGAATTTCCTATATTGCAGCTGAGTTTGTACTGTTTTCTTGTATTGAATTAAATTTCCCTATCGCTCTTAATCGAAATGTGCTAGTTCTATTTTGATTTGCTTGCATACGAGTTTAGAGTAAAAATATTGAAATTGCTATATGATGCCCGGTTGAGTTTAGTATTCCTTTCATGTATGCTTTGGGGGTTTATTGACTTTTAGAAGTATGCCATTCATGTTGTGCATTAACCGGATAGTTTCTTTTTTGTTATGTTTAGTTTTAGCTAGTTTAGAAAGTAATATTTTGTTCAGTTACATTTTGTTCAGGTTCAGTTTTAGATATTTTAGTTTTCAGTATTGGTTTCAGAGTTTTTTGTTATTGAAATTTTTAGTTTCATTCAGGTTTAGCTTCTTTACTTCATTTATCTTTCAGTTTTCAAAATCAGTTTGCACTAATTAGTTCAATGTATTTCGACTGACAGTTTTTCAGTTTGATTTATGTTTAGGTTCAGTTTTAGCTAGTTCAGAAAGCAATATTTTGTTTAGTTACATTTTGTTCAGGTTAAGGTTTAGATATTTTAGTTTTCAGTACTGGTTTCAGTTTTTTTTTCAAATTTTTAGTTTCATTCAGGTTTAGCTTCTTTACTTCATTTATCTTTAAGTTTTAATAATCAGTTTGCACTAATTAGTTCAATGTGTTTTGATTGACAGTTTTTTCAGTTTCATTTATGTTTAGGTTCAGTTATAGCTAGTTCAGAAAGCAATATTTTGTTCAATTTTATTTTTGTTCTGGTTCAGGTTTAGATAGTTCAGTTATCAGTTTTTGTCTCAGAGTTTTTTGTTTTTTAATTTTTTATTTTCATTTAGTTTTACTTTTCAGTTAATTTTTAGTTTAGTTTTAGTTTCATTTTAGTATAGTTTCTATTTCTGTTTATTATAGTGTCTTTTTCATTTCTCTATGCTGTTGACGAATTTCAGGAACAGCTCAGGGACAAGAAGAAGGCCTCATCTGCTATACCAATGTTAGGTCAGCTCCATGAGCTCTGTCATCTCCTTCATACCTGATTCTTTGTTTGTCTCCCCTGTTCTTGATCTTTGACTCTTTGCTGTCCTTGTGTTCCCTCATTAGTGATATAGCAGCTTTTAGGAGTATTATAACTTCTTTTGCTGGCAAGATAGTACTGGGTTTATTGTTGAGTTCCATTCAGTATTCAGTTTAGTCTGGAGACATTTAGTTTTTTTGGCTCAGTTTTTAG